GCTCTTCCCTTGACTCCTTGCATCCCTTACTCCAGCTCGGGGAGGCAGATATCTGCTGAGTTTGCCTGCTGTCGGCTCAGGCACGATGAGCTTCAGGTAAGACAGGAATTAAAGACTTGGCCGAAATCAGCTGCGCTGTTTTACACTGCAATATTCTCCCTTAAATACAACGCTAAATGGTCCCCCTGTGCACACGTGCTGGGCGCTTTCTTAGGGGTAACTTCCCCTGGTTTTAAGATATATGACCTGCGAGTAACTGCATGGAGTCTGCATTCCGCTCCACCCAGCTGCGTCCCTACAGCGTGAATGTAGAGTAAGGACGAGATGTTTAAGGAAACACCAGCACAAGAGAGGTCTCAGGAATTTAATGCTTTATTATCTAGTGAGCACCCCATGGGGCCAAAGCACGGCCTGGGGCGTCAGGAGGAGGCAGCAGGGAACCCCGAGTGATGCCCCTTCCCCAGGGAGCGATGGTCCCGCAGGGCAGAGGAGAGGGTGTGCGGCCGGGCAGCCCCGGGGCTTGCAAAGCTTTGGGGAGGCAGGATGGAGCTGGTCCATGCGCGGCCTTTGCTGCTGGAGCCGGGCGCGTGGGACACCCCATCACTTCATCTTCTGCGAGGGCAGCTGGAGGACCTGCTGCTGCTGCTGCTGCTGCTGCTGGTGGTACTGGACCTGTGGCTGCCCGTGGCATCCACCACCGCCGGAGCTGTGACAGCCACCGCTGCTGCCACCGGAGCTGTGACAGCCACCACCGCTGCCACCAGAGCTGTGACAGCCGCCACCGCTACCACCGGAGCTGTGACAGCCGCCGCCACCACCGGAGCTGTGACAGCCACCACCGCTGCCCCCGGAGCTGTGACAGCCGGTATGGCGGGTGTAGCGCTCCTGGCTGTGGCACTGGTCCCTGTCCTGGCGGGAGCACATCGTGGTGTTTTTGGGGTGAATCTGTGAGGAGAGAGGAGCTGTCAGGGGGTGCAGCGTTTCCCACCACCCCGATTGCCCCAGCGCCCTGGTCTTGGGGTCCCGCTGCCTGCTCCGTCTGCACTCCCACGCCCAGAACTGCTGTGCAGGATCCGGGGAGAACCCCCTGCCCTGGGGCAGTGCCCTGCATCCACCGACGGAGGGTTTCATCAGCCAGCAGTAGCGTGGCCTAGTCACAAGACAGGTCCTCTTGTCCCTCCATGCACCCCCCGACCCTGCGAGCATCCCCCCACCCTGCGAGCATCTCCCCAGGGTTCGTGTTAAACCCGTGCTCTTCATCCCTTGCTGGGAAACAAGTCCCCAGAGAAGGAATATCCATCCAGGCTGCCAGACTTACCTGAGCTCGAGAGGAAAGCAAGAGGAGGGAATGAAGATCCCCAGGACAGGAGCAGTTTTATAGAGATCTCCGATCCCTTTCCCGGAAATGAGACAGCTCTCTGTCATAGTGATCTATTAATTTAATACCCAATCCCCATCAAACCGCCCTCTGTTTACATCTTTCGCCTGACTCATTCATGATGGATATCATTTCTTTTTATCGGTTTCCTGTGCCACATCTAATTGCCGGCCTCACCTGCCCTTAATAGGGAAACCCGTGGTGCCTGGGTTTCCAAAGGCTCATCTCCTTGGGGTTTGGTTTGTTAAATTAAGTCCAGGCATAATTATAGCCCCATCCCATGAGGCTCTACTCTCAGACTCTAATCCCTGCTATTGAGCCGGCACGAGATAAAGCCAGAAATAATGCAGGTAAAAAGGAGTGGAAAATTGTTCTCTCTTCTCCCGTAGATGTTCCCCTAGTTCCAAAGAGCTGCCACGGCCATGGGGACAGCCAACGGAACAAGGACAAATTCCTCCTGGGCTTCCTCTAGAGAAGGGTCCCAGGTTTTCGACAGGGGTGTTACAGCTCCTTCCCTTGACCGAAAGGGTGTGAATTTCCCCCACAAGGCACCTGAGCAGCCGGAAAACAGTCTTGGGGACCACTGAAATCCTTGAAAGTCCTGCGGCGTTCACATACATCTTGCTTCATTGACAAAGAGTAGCTGTTTCCATCGCCTTAATGACAAAGATCAAGAAACGAAGGCTGGGGAGTTAGAAGACCCCTCTGGTGCTGCCTGCTTCGTTGGTCTGTCTTCTGAAGCAAAGCTGGAGCTTCAGCGACGGCCCTTCTGCACAGCCCCGTGCTGCCCAGCACTTCATCCCACCTCGAAGTACGCTTGACCTCTAGAGACCACATCCCCTTGTGTATGGGATAAAGGCAAGAAAAAGCCCGAGATAACGTTGGGAGCCACACAGTCTACGAAGATCCCCCTTTTTTTGCCAAAGAGAACTGCTCTGGCAGCTCGCTGAGGGAGGAGGGGATAGCACCGGGGCTTGGGCTGCGCTGAAAACCAACGTCCGTCCCAAGACACATGTCAACTAGTGCTCTTCCGTCAGGTTCAGCCCCGAAAATTAACTCCTTGCATGCTTCTCCTGGGAGCTGTTGGGTGGCTCTTGTTTGGCTTCAGGTAAACTCCTGTTGCAGGGGGTTGAGCTGGCCCTGGGGTCCCTGTGTCCAGCTTGAGCAGGGGGCGATGTGACAGTGGAATAAAACCTTCCCCCGGGCTGCAGGTGCTGCCGGGGCACGAGCGGCTCGCTCTGCTCCCATCTGACATTTTGGCTACTTGAACTGTCCATCACGAGCCTCCCAGCTGGTGGCAGTGCCCGTCTGTTTTACCCAAGGGGTCAGTGGTGGGGAGGATTGCAAAGCTCTCCTCTGGCCTCGCAGACCCGTGGCTCACCCAGCACGCAACGCGGCCGGCATTTACTGTGCTGACTGCCACTGATGTCATTTAAAAATTTCATATAGAAACTGGTGGCTGCACTTGTAATTAGCAGAGGAACCGGGTAGACGCCCACTCAGAGCTGTGTGTGCTGCGGGCAAAAATCCACGTGGCTGTTGGAGCAAGTGTGTGCACGCACGGAAGGGACCGATTCCTGCGCAGGCTGAGCACAACGTCCACGGGGCTCCTTACTATTGCACCCCTCCTGCCTCCCAAAATAACAACCAGTGAGTAAATTCTCAAGGATAAATGCATTTCTGTGCACGAGTCTTGTGCAATCTGGTTTTGCCTTTTCCGGAGAACGTTAGTAGCAGTTGTCGGGTCGGAGGCGAGGTTCTGCACAGGAGAGTTTGATGCCGATTTGTTTTTCAGGTGATGATCTCATTCTTTCAATGAGAGAGGACATAGGAGTGTTTTCAGTGTAACCAACAGTCTCCCAAGTTTCGCAGGGGCTGGTGTTTTTCCCGCAGTCCCCAGCCTCTCAGATGTTATTAGTTCGGCTTTCAGTTAAAAGCAGAAACCACATCAATTTTTTTTTTTTTTTTCTTTTTTTTTTTATTGTGGTCGCAGAGGAAAAAAAAATATTTAAACAGTCAAAAACCTAAGAGGCAAAGGAAACGAACCTCAACGCATATGACTAGTAATCACTTCGAGGGTTTTCTTGGGATGCGTGGGGTTGGCAGCAGGACGTGGTTGCACCACCCGGCTCCCCTCCCTCAGCCTTTACACAGGGATGTAACGCTCTGGGCCAGGCTGCTCCCAGCTCCCAGGTGCAAAACCCCTTCCCCGGTCACCTCCCTGCCTTTCCAGCAGCACCTCTGCCAGGGCCTGGCGGTGCAGGGAGATGGATTTAGCTTCTCTCCGTGCCAGCTCTTCCCTTGACTCCTTGCATCCCTTACTCCAGCTCGGGGAGGCAGATATCTGCTGAGTTTGCCTGCTGTCGGCTCAGGCACGATGAGCTTCAGGTAAGACAGGAATTAAAGACTTGGCCGAAATCAGCTGCGCTGTTTTACACTGCAATATTCTCCCTTAAATACAACGCTAAATGGTCCCCCTGTGCACACGTGCTGGGCGCTTTCTTAGGGGTAACTTCCCCTGGTTTTAAGATATATGACCTGCGAGTAACTGCATGGAGTCTGCATTCCGCTCCACCCAGCTGCGTCCCTACAGCGTGAATGTAGAGTAAGGACGAGATGTTTAAGGAAACACCAGCACAAGAGAGGTCTCAGGAATTTAATGCTTTATTATCTAGTGAGCACCCCATGGGGCCAAAGCACGGCCTGGGGCGTCAGGAGGAGGCAGCAGGGAACCCCGAGTGATGCCCCTTCCCCAGGGAGCGATGGTCCCGCAGGGCAGAGGAGAGGGTGTGCGGCCGGGCAGCCCCGGGGCTTGCAAAGCTTTGGGGAGGCAGGATGGAGCTGGTCCATGCGCAGCCTTTGCTGCTGGAGCCGGGCGCGTGGGACACCCCATCACTTCATCTTCTGCGAGGGCAGCTGGAGGACCTGCTGCTGCTGCTGCTGCTGCTGCTGCTGGCACTGGACCTGTGGCTGCCCGTGGCATCCACCACCGCCGGAGCTGTGACAGCCACCGCCGCTGCCACCGGAGCTGTGACAGCCACCACCGCTGCCACCAGAGCTGTGACAGCCGCCACTACCACCGGAGCTGTGACAGCCACCACCGCTACCACCGGAGCTGTGACAGCCACCACCACTACCCCCGGAGCTGTGACAGCCGGTATGGCGGGTGTAGCGCTCCTGGCTGTGGCACTGGTCCCTGTCCTGGCGGGAGCACATCGTGGTGTTTTTGGGGTGACCTGTGAGGAGAGAGGAGCTGTCAGGGACTTCCCCTTCCTTCTTCTGCTTTTCCAGGGAAGAGAAATCAGAATTTATCCAGTCTTAGCCAGATCCTACGATCATCTTTAAACCGTGCTTCAACTTCTGATACCCCCCCATGGGATTGTCCCCCCAGAGCCATAACCGGAGATGCTGGGAGCATCCAGAGCAGCAGGGCAGGTTGACCACAGCTGCCTTCCCAAAGCAGAGACATCT